TAAAAATAGGATTGGTTGGTGCTGGAGAGATGGTTCAGCAATTACGAGTACTTGTAAAATTTTCAGAGGACTGGGGTTCAATTTCCAGTGCCCACATGGTAGCTTACAATGATCCCTAAGTCAAGTTTTAGGGGACTCCTCTGATTTCCACCAGGCATGAATACGGTGCACAATTATACATGTAGGCAAAACATTCACATGTGTAAAATAAAATAAGTAAATGTGAAAAACCTGAAAATTTAAAATGATGTCAAAGGCTTCCAGTAAGTATGTAAACAGTGACACAGGAATCTGTTTTAGACATATATGAACTACTTCAGTGAAGAAGGTTGGGGAAAGGCGCTGGCCTAAGCAACCTCAGAATCCCAAAGAGGAGCAGTCTACAGTATGCCTAATTAATCTTTAACACTTGTTTCCAAACAGAAACATAGTCTGAGAAACTGCCCCAGCCAAGAGGAGTCTATGAACTTGTGACACCTAAATGCAGCAGTGTAGAAGAGAAGGCCATTAGGGTAAAAGCTAAGCAGGCTTGGCCAGCCTGACCACCCCATGTCAGTGCTGCTCATTAACATAACACAAGAAATGCAGATGTAGAGAGTGTGATGGGGCAAAAACAGTGAACTCCCTTATCACCTACATTTCCTATAAAACTGAAACTACCCTGAAAAAAACCAATGCTTATTAACGATAAAATAATGGGTAGACAAAAACCAAACTAAAAGTGACTATGGATAAAACAATAAATATCACCTCTTATTGCATTAACTACCCATCGTTCTAGAAGTCATTTTTCTTAATATAGATATTGGGTAGGAAAAATTAGCTATCCAAAAATCCTATGAAGATTGTAAAAGACAAATCAAATCAAAACAAGCAATAAGATCCCACCATTGATTCAAATGAAAAAAAAAATACAGGGAATTTCCTGTAATTAGTACTGGTTTGGAACAATAACTTCCTCTAATTGGATTTGTCAAAGTGCTCCTGGAAGTACTGATTCAATTCAATTCACTTCAATATATGTTTTTTTTTAAGGCACCTGCTTTCTGAAAGGTCCTTGGTTTGACAGAGGGTAGTGGGTAGAACAACTGGGCACCATATGATTTCTCAACTAAAGTGCTTAGCCATCACAAGAGCATAGGAATGCTACAGACCCACTCCCATGCAAGGCAGAACTTCAGGAAGAAAGGGTGAGGTGGGTGTTATGGCTCCAAGGACAGGGATGTACTGGAAAAGGGCACAGCATTGTAGGGATGCTGAAGGTTTCAGTTTGGCTGGGATGTGTTAGGGCAATCATTGGTTGCAGGAATGCAAAGGCATGTAGGGTCTGAGGGATAAAGCATGGACAATCACCAGAGAGCATGAAAAGGTACAGGAGAACAGAGGACTTAATAGGAAGCTGAGGAGGTGGGCAATGTGTGGAACCCTGGTGCTTTAGTGAGAACAGAAGGAAGGAAAAGAAAACCATGTGGCTTTCATCATCTAGATGGCATCGTGACATTGACAAAATGAACTATATTAGGACTACATGGTCACCATATAGACTTTACCTTTTTATTAAAGATTATTTTCATTTATGTGTATTTGTGAGTATATGCCACATGTGTGTGGGTGCCTGCAGAGGGCAGGAGAGGGCAGGTGTTGCATCCAGAGTTATAGGCTACAGCCAGTCACTGGATGTAGACATCAGCCCTATACTCTATCCTCTGGAAGAACAGTGAAGTTTCTTAATCACTGAGCCATCTGGTCAACCCACAGCCAGTGCCTTACTATCTGAAGTCTGGATTGGGACTGCAGGGAGGGCACTGATACAAAGGGCACCACTTCATTTTGCTCCACATGATGCAAATTGACCTTGTTCTTCCTAGCACATAAACCTTTTTCTTTTCTTGATTATAAGAATAGTCCATGTCTATCATATATTTGGTGATATACATACATATAGTGTAATATACACACACATAATAAATATACATACCTATAATAAAAGTTCCTTAGAAATTTACATCAGTAATCATTTATACTCTGGGGCTATTCCCTGCCCCTCAGGAGGTTCTGCAAAATGCACTTAGCTACTTAGGGAACTCAAACTTAAAGTCCACTGTTACAGACTACATGGTATACAATAGTAGGAAGCTGTACTAGGACAATCTCTTATTTGAACACTGGAATCCAGGGCTGCTTGTGTGAAAACCTGGACTTCCATTTCTGAGAAGCTTGCTTTGTGTGCACTTCGTGGGAGTGAACTGTGTTAAAATGTATTTTTATTTTCTCTAAAAATATATAACATAAAACATGAAAGTTTATCTTGACAAAAGAAAATAAAGGTGGTAAGAACATATACAAAGAGACTGTAGCCTCAAAGCATTCAATTTGTATAGAAGTAGCTGTTTTATAATGGAGTTTTAATAGTATGAAATTTCTAAGGCATATAAGCCTTGTGTTGGAGAACAGACTGTGTCTGTTTTAAATGCTCATGCAAACACATCTGTAGTTCAGACCAAACTGGAACACACACCACACACACACACACACACACACACACACACACACACACACACACACACCTATTTTGTGTTCTTATCTGTCTTTCTGACTATTATTCATGTTACTGTCATGCATGTCTTTCCTTTGGATCAGGCCCTAGGCTTGTTTCCTGTTTGCACTCTGGTCCTGCCATTTAGACCCAGTGTGATTAAGTCATGGTTACTTTCATGGTTAATTTGGAAATTTACTGGACAGTCACTCAATTCCAGACACAACAAAGTCTTTGGAGTAGAGAGATGGACAAGTCACTGTCCCATCTTCAGGGACCTCCACAGTTCAAAGAGATACTATAGTCAAACAGGGCTACTGGGGAAATAATAGTGACAATGGAGAGGGGGAGGAGGTGACAGGAATGGATGGTTCTTCACAGCAGGCTGGGCTATGGATAAGTGATTTCCAAAGGGATAGATGAGCAAATGCAGAGAGAAGCACAGTGTGGTTTATTTGGGGGACATTAGAAGATTGTCCTTTAGAGGTTGGAGGGGAGACATCATTCATAGAGCTACAAAGTGTGATAGGGGCTTAGAATGTTCTTTTACACTACACTTTCCCACAAATTATCTTCTGTTGTCCCAAATGATTATATTATCTTGCATTCTTCCATGTATAATTTATATTTCTAAAGAAGAGTATAAACTTTGAAGGCAGAACATATTCTCCAAATGCCTCAACTCCCTCAGCACAGTATTTAACATGTAGTGGGAATTGTAGGAATCTTTTAATTTCATCATCAGCTATTATTCCATCAGTTCTATGCCCAGTGTTTATAGAGAACTTTAAGCATCTGTTAGAAGAATTGAACAATGCTGAGTCAAGACAAAATGGAAAAGATCAGCATGTTTTGTACAGATGTTCTGCCTTGGTAGTCTTGGCTCTAGAACAATTTTATTTGCTATTAAAAGACAATTTAGCATAATTTGTTTCAAAGTGTCATATCTTAGCATATTTATAGTTGTCAACAAGCTATGGATTTATAATGATGGTTATTGGATTTGCCCCTCAGAACTGCTTTGGGTGGCATCCTCTGCAGACTGGCCACCCCTGTCTTCCTGTAGTCTATTGAGCAGGATAATAATTATGATCTTAAGACATCTTCTTTCAGCAGAGTCGGTATGTTCTGGTGATCAACACTGATAGATAACCCAGAGAAATGGAGGGGAATGAGAGTGAAGATGGGGAAGTTAGCTTTACATTTCACCAAAGTTATAGCAACCCAGGGTAAGGATACCTCATGTTTATTTTGGAAGGAGTTAAAAAAGCAAAAAAGAAGGGATGTGAACAACCAACCCAAGAATCCACTCTAATCAACAAAACTCACTGAGCTCCCTATTCATGCTGAGGGAAGAAAGAAAAGTAAAAACCAGTATGATTTGGGGAAATCTAGGCAGACATACATAGAGACCAAAAATATACAAAGATAAGACTGTGAAGAATTTGACAAGAGCACATGAAGATGCTGGTGATAGAAAAAAGATCAAGGTCTAGGGAGATGGCTCAGTCAGTGAAATGCCTGCCATGTAAGCATGAAGGCCAGTATAGTGGTGCATGCTTGAAATCCTGACACTGAGGAGGTGGAGACTGGAGAGCCACTGAGAACAAGGCCAGTGAGGGAACCTGTCTCAAAAAAGATGGACAGTATCGGAAGAATGACATCCAGTGTTGACTCTGGTCTCCCTATGGACATGCACATATGTATAGCATACAGACTGCATACATGTCAACATCAATGCACGTGTACATACATACATACATACAATACAAAAAAGAAAGAAAAGTAATCAAATAAAAAAGACACTAAAGAGAATGGAATGAAAAAAAAAAAACACTTAGAATGTCCTTGAATGGTTATTTGCCTCCTGATTATTTCATTGGGGTGCTAACACCTGTTGCCATGTACAATTAGTTTTGCTTATTGGTGGCCATGGTGGTAGGTGAAGTATGTCTACTGTTCATAATATCACTGTCCATGATCTTATTCTCTTATTTATAGGTAGAGAGACACATGTCAGTGGTCTTGCTGTCGATATTGGTTGTCTTGGAGATGAAAAGGAAAAAGAAAGAGTCATTTAAAGGACAGCAAGTCCAATAGTAACAGGCAGGCAGGGCATACACAGGCATAGAAATGCCACTTGCTCTAGGTGACTGAGTCTATGCAGAGAGAGATTTATAGAACTATGTTCTCATAAGAACTCCATTCACCAATGCCAATTCACTTTTTCAGTGACTTATGTGTGATTTGTATTTAGCTAATATTTCTCATGCTTTGGTTTGGAGACCCAGTCCCTTCCTGGTCTTCATTTGAGAAACAGTCTAGATCCAGGCATGGTGCTATGTATCTGGAGTCCCAACTACTCCTGAGGCAGGAGGACAGCTCAAGCACAGACATTCAGGAAGCACAGACAAGCTCGGAAACAACCTACAGACTCTATATAAATACAACAACAATCTCTTACATCAGTCTGGGGATGTCACTGACAGCCACTGTCCCATCGTGTGTCTCACTCTCCCCATCTTCTTCTTCTTCCTCACTACTCTCTGATTCCTCGCTGGAGGAGGAGTAATCAGTCACTTTCTTCAGTGGGCGATTTGTTTCTTCAATCCGGAGTTCTCTTAATTCTTTGGCTAATGCCGTCAAATCCTACAAAAGAAAAGTTTGTAAGCATATGAAGTGTAGTTACAACCAAAGCTGTATCTCCCAGCCAGTCACTGCTCCAGCTTAAGCAACAAGAAAGAAAGAAAGAAGCTCTATAGAGAACTGTGACAAACACAGTTACTGTATGGAACTAAGAAAATGATATTTGTGGTGTGGAGAAGCTAAGAGACAGGAGATGAAATAGATTCAAACTTAGTTCAAAACCAATAGCTAGACCAGGACTGACTGTGCATGTGCATGTGTGTGTGTTAGACTGGGACTGACTATGCATGTGTGTGCCGTGCTGTGTGCATGCGCAAACGTAACAAACATTGTGTTTTCTTTTTATTTTGAGAGGGTGAGGTTAGTCACCCTCAGAGTTGAATGAGAAAATAAACGGGATTAAAATTTGTTCCCCAAGTATTGTGAAATTCCTGGCCAAAGCCCTGATGATGGCCCTTCTTCTCTTCTGAGGGCTACTGGACCAAAAATCTAGCATCAATCATAGAACAGAGCAATTGCCAAAGTTCATCTGGTGTGAAGTCATTCCCCAAATAACAAAGGTACCACATCCAATGACAGCCCATCCAAAATCCTAGTGCTACTGAAATTTCGAGCCACAGGAATAAGTTAATCAAGAGGAAGGACAGACAGACAGACAGACAAACAAACAAACAAACAATCGGTTCTCTTCCAGAACAACGGGTGTTTCATTTTTAAATTTTAAATTCCAGTCACCTGGCAGAAACCCTTACAATAGATGCTGAAATGATTGTGTAAACACCCAAAGGAAGAGATAATTTTCCAGTTTTCCATGAGTGTGATGAAACCTTTAGCCTTATGGATGTGATGAGGCAGAACTTAGTCACCAGGCATAGTGCAAGACAGTGTGCTGAACGTCTGACTACCTTTAATGGACATGCTTTCAGAGCAAGGCGGAGGGAGGCAGTTCTGCAGAAGCATGGCCGCTCTACTTTGCATGGGTTAAACTGCCCATGGCACGAAGCATGCAAATGAGGAAAAAGCAATTTGACATTGGTCTTACCATTTCTCCCTATTTAGGAACCCATGTGGGAATCAGAGCATTCAGCGAGAGACAGGGAGTTAGGGAGAAAGAAACTCATTGAAAAATACTAAAGCCCACATTTTTCTTTTTCCAAAAAATATTTGGCCATATTCTCTCTTTATTTCAGTCCAGAAATGTATTTGTCCAATTCACCTGATGTATGATTAATCTTGGTGACATAAATGATGTTAAGTAATTGATCTAAATTAGAAGAAAAACTATGATAAGCATGCAGAGTCGATGGTAATTATAATTTTGAGGCACCCATATGCCATGGAATTGCTGTACTGTGGCCGCATGGCAAGCACCATTGTTTTGGTTAACACTCACATTGCTTCACTGAAATTTAGGACATTCAAACTGTTAAGTGAACAAGTCAGAGTCATTTCCTTTTAATTCCATGTCTCAGATGGGATGCAATAATGTCCTGAAGCCACTGCATTAAGGCCCCATGAAGTGGGAGGCTTCTGGAAATCCCAACTGCACGTTCTACTCATGAACACACTTGCTGGGGCTTTTCTATACATGTACACTCCCTCAAACACACACAGCCCCAGTCTCCGCCATCTGTGAAAGTGAATATAGAGTTGGATCCAAAAGGCTTAACAATGTTCAAAGAAAACATATTATGAAAAGGGAAAGCCTCCACATGCACATAGAACTTTATGCCAATTTACTTCTAATTTCTTAGGCAATGCACCCGAACCAGGAAAGGCTAATATCTAGCTTTCAACCTTCTGCATATTTCCTCTTGATTGCTGCCGATACATTTATCTTTATCAAACAAAAAAAGAGTATGAAGAACATGCTAGATGGGCACAATGGGGACAAACTGTTGACAGATTTGTCAAGACTCTGAAAGCAAGAGGACATGGTGAGCTTCCAAACTAGTAAAAATGACAAATTAGACACACTTACTGCATATTTAGATTTTATAAGGTAATACCATCAAAGAATATAACTAATATTTAAAATGTTACTTATTATTAAAAACTATACTTTATTATAATTTAAAGAGAGAATATGGTTTAAAGGAGCTTGTTTCTACTATCAAAAAATCTGAGTAAAATATAATACTACCACTATGACTTATTTAAATTAATGATACATTTTACCCCAGGCATGGCTTCCTTATCTCTGACAGTTCAGAACAAGAAAAAGAGAGAGATTTAAAAAATCCAATCTATTTAGAGTTATTAGTAAGTCCATAACCCAATAATAACTTTGAGAGAGTTCGACTTGTTAAAATGGTCTGCATTTCTCTAAATACTGTATTTATCAACACTTTAAAATTATGACCTGCTTTATAATTTTGGTTTTAATCAGAGTTTTTATTTCTGTGTTATTAAAAATCTCTTTCCTAAAACATTAAAAAATAATTGCAATTCTATTTCAGTTTAATTGGTATCAGCTTAGAGAGTGCGACACAAATGAAAATTTCAAGGTAGCAATAATGAATAATCAAAAGTAATGCCCCCGAAGAGAACTAATCTCCCATTGCCAGCAGCCTTTGTGGCTAGCTGAACTTTTGTTCTTCATATGCTCATGATGAAGAAAATGGACGATATCAAAGTTGCAGGAAATAGACATGATGCAATATTGTCACTGCTGGGTTTGGATGCATTTCCATACACTTTATTCTCTGACAATTCCAATTTCCTCTATATAATGAGTCTTTTATGGTAATTTATTGCTTGGGTGTCTCAAGCCCGAAGCTAAAAAGTATTAAAGAGGGGAATAAAACTGCTATTTAGCATGAAAATATTTGAGAACATAGTAACTAAAAAAGAGATATGGCAAAAAATACTTCATTCTTTTTTCCTACAATCCAATGTGAAGACAGTAGGAGGCTCTGTCCAAAGGTGTGTTTGATGCAGCGTTTCTTAGCTTCTTCATGATGAAACTTTTCATTCTGGTGAGCTAGTTTCAACATCTTGCTTCAAAATATGCTCATTTAGGTTTCTTTTCTTGAAATAATATAGTTAATTCAAATTTTACTTCAACTGGTTGAGCCGTTTTATACTATTAGCAAATTTTAATCTGGTCTTTCTTTTATGTGTTGCATTTCCTCCTTTTTAGGAAAACTAAAGGAGCAACACTGGGTGTATCACTTAATTCAGTGGACTCATCTGAAGGAAAAAGAGTCCAGCTTATGAATTATTACTACCTTTCAACCTATCTATGGGTGACTTTAGAATTTTCATTTTATCTCAATGAAAACCTAACCCAGACACACATAGACTTCATGCCACACATTCAGTTATGGGAAAGTAAAGGGTATCTGTTCTCAAAAGTTGTATTAAATAATATTGTTCTAGAATGTCATAGTGCATTAGAAAGTAATGCTAAATTAATAGCTATCATTTGGGATTTATTGCTATGAAAGATTAAACTCCTGAATTACCAATAATATGAAATATGCTTATTTGATATTTAAAGACTTATTTGAATTTCATTCTGGATTATCTAAGTAGGGAAATAGTTGCAGAAGGAAAGTCATACTAAAACGTAGGAACAGAGATGGGTCACAGAGCTGAGGTCAAGATTTCCCAACAGTGGCTCCTTTAACATTTGGGCCCAGGTGACCTCTTACTGTGAGGAACTGCCCTGTGTGTTGTAGGATGCTTAGCTCCACCCTTTTTATGAATCCACAAGCTGCCAGTAGCTCTGCCTCCTACTTTCAAGTATAAGAAACACAGTTGATTTCAGGTTTTGCTGAATAGCTCCTAAGTGAAAACAGGGGAGCTATCAGGGCTAAGATCTGCTGGGGTAGGCAGGACCCTAAGAGCTGCTGGGGTCGGCAGGTCCATCTTCCTGTATTTTGAGTGGTCCAGGCATAGATACTCAAGGGTCAGAGCTGTTAGTTCACTGGGGGCATTTGCTCTGATACACAGCCCCAGAGATTTTGGCATGAGGTTGTCTACCCCCTCATCTCTATGGTGTGGTAGAGCATAACAAAATAAATGCAGCAATTTTCAAAAAGCCCGGCACATCCAGGGTTAATCAGATGAGACCTAAAAGAGCCCCTTTCCTCATGACAGCCACCTCAATACCAATGTCTGGACCCTTAAGTTGTTCATATGAATACTACCTTATTGGCAGCTAAGGTACCCAGTACCAGAAAATAATTTTCTGTCTTTACCTGTTTTGGGTGACTAATAGAGTTGGGGTAGTCTCTCCACCCTTCTTACTGCTATGAAGGAAAAGCAAGGCCATAGTGCTGAGTGATTATAAATAGTCCCCTGAGTAGACATGTGGGGGGGGGCATTACTTTGTAAACAGCAAATCCTTCACCAGGAGAGTGACTTTCTCAATCACTATGAATAGCACAGTGGATGCAGCTATGGTGAAAAAAAGCTCCCCAGAATCAAATTTCCTACTAGCTCAAATCTGAACAGTTACTTTCCACTTTAAAATATACCTTTGTAGACTGGCCTTAACGACCCTAAACAATCTGTGGGTAAAGGCAGGTAGACATTTTTACTCGCTTTCTACAGACCAGAAAACTGACTGAGATTATGAGGCTTATTATCCTAGCCAGCATTCATTAAGGGGAGCCAAACTTCAAATGTAATTGTTGATCCTGGAAGCAGGTGCTTTTCCCGTATGATTCCACAAAAATGGACTCTGACGAGCTATAGCCACAAAGCCACAATGTGAGCCTCACATTTCATGCAAGGCCTGCCTGTTTGGGACCATTGCACTGTGCTGTGTTCATGCAGGCCTGACAACAGTCAGGCGGCCATCCTCAGCTATCTACAAGGGACAAAGCCATGTGCTTTTCTAGTAGAAAAATGTCTCCACAGATAAGTAACTAGATCACTCAACTTGTCATGGTCCAGTAGCTAAGGTTGATCTTGCTTGTGGTGTTGTGACTTGCCCCACAAAATTAAGCTAACAGTACCCAGTTGCTCCTTGTTCACAAATCCCACCACTATAAGTTTAAGGTGTGCTAGAATTATGTCTCTTTGCTTTGTTAGTAAAACTGCTGAGAGCCATCTTCTAGTAAGGTTGCTGAATACAGGTTTGTTATTAGAAGGTACTGGAAGGAGAAACCATACCATTAACAAAACACTAGTACCTGTTGTTTGCCCACTTGGGACACTGGGAAAGCAATATTTTTGCTTAGTGAAGGACCTAAAGCTTTTTATGTGTACATCTGAGGGTCTTGGGCTGGCTTCTGTTGAAGGGAACTCTCCTCCCCAGACAAGGCTGAATGTATGTCAGAGGGCTTTTCCCATAATTCCACTGGCCTCCTTTCTCTATGTCAACATTAGGAAGAGTTTAATAGTCACATCTTGTGAAAGCATGACCAAGAAAAGGCGATACTGACCTCATCTATAGCTTTTTTATAGCTCTGTGACAAGAGGACCCAGTCCAGAAGAGTCCACAGGCAGGGAAAAGCCAGAAGAGAAGAAGCAGGTTAGACACAAAATCAGCATTTTTTAGTAGAAAACTAAGACAGACTAATAGGCAAAGAGAAATTCAGGCCATAGCAATGCAACTTCCCTTCATTATTGCTTAGCATAAGGAGTTACTTTAAGATGAAAAGAGCAGCAAAATAGAATAATTCATTTACAGGATAGCATCTGAGAACATCCACATTAACTTTCTACTTTCAGCCAACATCCTCTCCTCTCTTCTCCTCTCCTCTCCTCTCCTCTCCTCTCCTCACCTCTCCTCTCCTCATTTATTTACTCATTGATTTGAGACAATATTTCATGTATCCTAGACTGGCCTTGAAGTCAATATTCAACTAAAGATGACTTTGAACTTTTGATTCTCTTACACACTGGCATTAAAGGTGTGTACCATCATGCCTGTTTTATGCAGTGCTGGGGATCGAATCCAGGGCTTCACAAGTGCAGAGGGAGCACTTAACTATATTCTTAGCCCATATCCTTCCTTCCTTCCTTCCTTCCTTCCTTCCTTCCTTCCTTCCTTCCTTCCTTTCCTTCTTTCTCTCTCTCTTTCTCTCTTTCTTTCTTTCTTTCTTTCTTTCTTTCTTTCTTTCTTTCTTTCTTTCTTTCTTTCTTTCTTTCTTGCCACTTGGTGTCAGGTACAAAGGGAAACTTCACAGTCCCAAACTCAGGCACCTTTACCAAAGCAGCCAGAAGGGACAAATGGCTATGTATGGTGTCTATTAGCATGATGGCCTCCAAGCTCCCTTAGTATCACAACTGCCTATGGCCCTTTTCACCCTGTCCCCTATCCCAAACTTCTCCAGCTCATGACCTTCCCTTCCTCCTGTTCCTATTCCTATACAGCTGACATTGCAGCTATGTGCTCTCCTTTGTCTTCCCCTCTTGGCCTCTCTCTCTAAGAATCCTCTGCCTGCTCTCCCTTTGTCCTCTCTTTCTCCCCTGCCCTACTCTCATGACACAGCCCAGTTGGCTGGCCATGTCCAGTGTACTGCTTTCTTTCCCTATTCTGGACTCTTACAGATGCCTCTGGCTGTACTCTTTCTCATATCTACAGTCGAAACCTTGTCCTCGACCATACCATGGAGTAGTCAGCCCTCAGGTTCTACCTCTGATGCTGAAACCCCCAGTTTATACACTGGGGTCCTTCATGTTCCAGCAATGAATCTGTATTTCAAGTCTCCAGATGTTGTGTCACACTTCACTTACTGAATTTTGGTGCAGAAAAGACTAGTCTGTAAGGCATGACAAGTAGTGAAAAACCAACCTGCCTCCATCTTAAGCTTAAAAGTCTTCCTATAGTAAAGATACACTAGGCTCATTCCTGTTTGTGATTAAATCTGTTTCTCAAGGACTGGGCTGTGCCCCACCTGTAACCTTAATTACAAATGGTCCTGTACTACATGTCCCAGGAATGGTAATCATGTCGGTGTTCCAAAAAGTTGTTTATAACCATATTGTAACCATGACTTTACTTCAAAAGGGTTGTTATGACTATTTGCTATGACTCCTTGTTATTATGACCATCTTGTAACCTACCTTGTAACCATGTCTTTGTTTCAGGAGGTTGTTAGGATTAACTTGTTATGATGTTCTGCTCCTATAACCATATCTATTTTGCCCACCAGATCCCACATTTGAAACCCCCCTACCCCTGAGCTATAAAAGCCTCATCTTCCTCATATCCAATGCTGATAGATCTCTCAAACCCTGCCTGAGAAATTCCATGTACACAAATAAAAAAGCTTGCTTTAATTAATTTGGCCATGATGATTTGAGTTGGTGGTCTTTCTCTTCCATTCTTTGGGATTAACAGTAGCACAAATTCTGTGATGATAGTTCTTGTGAAAACCAGTGTGGAGAGTGGATGACAGTAACTTACAGGAAGAGCATTACGTGTCCCTGACTGCTACTTTCAACATTTATGTCAAAGTGCTGAGCAAATATTGTGGGATGGTGTTTCTCCCACCATTTTTCTCTTTTTTATTTTTATTTTTTACAGGACTTCTGGTGAGCAAAAGGGCATTCAAAGGCAGTAGAAGCAGCCCAAGTTCCATTCAGTTCTCCCCATTCATGTACAACTTCCTTCTAGATGCTTGTAGCATACAGTGTTTTTATTGATCCATCAATTTTTTGCTTTGAGTCATGAATGTAACCACAACTACCTTATTTTAGGATTCTCAGGTAAGTGAGGAGATAAAAATTCTTAAAAAGAAAAGCACTCACAGCTGGTCGACTAGGCCTGGTGATGTCTCTTGATTCTTCGGGTTTCACCTTGGAAGGCTCATGGGGGAGCACAGGTGATCCTTCGGACTTACTGTTGGCTAGAGAAAAAAAATGGGGACAAGAAAAATAGGACATGACCATTAGAAAAGGCTGCCTTACATTCTGAGTGAGTGCCTACTTATTAGGCAAATCCATGTATATCAATGCAAAAACAACTGCTCAAAAAACAAAGTCAGACAACAAAGGCCTGAAACCTAGAAGTCAGCAGTGAGTATGAAAATCTACAGGCACGACCAAGGACTTACTGTGTATTTGGCACAACACCAAATGCTTTCTCTGCCGATTATTAAAATTGATCCTTGTTCCAACCCAATGGTGCGACACTATTTTCTTATTCTCCAGATGAGTATAGACTCAAAGATGGCACATCTAGCTCAAGGTGACAATGAAGTTATGGATTTAGTTGGGATTCTTTCTGAATTTCCAAAGTCTTCTTAATCATTATTTCAAATTAGTTTATAAATTGAAATTTAGGCTTGTCTTCTCCTTTTACCATGTACTCATCAGAACAGGCTATTCTGATGGAAGGTTATGAACAATAAAAAGAGTTTTCTCCAATGGAATGATTTTTTAAAGGGGGCTGAGAAGTGATGTGAGACCTTAAGGAAGAAAGAATGATGCAGATCAGGGAGGCGTTGATATTAGGCAAAGGACCTGGAAACAGAGGTGTGGAGAAGGGATGGGGAGGCTCCCTGCAGCCACAGTGAGAGCTGCCATGCCATTTATGTCATAGGTAGAGAAGCAGGAAAGCCCAGAACTTCTTGTTTGGGTTGAAAGCAGTCTTTCTTAGTCTCTTGTAACCAGAAACGTAGGGAATGAAGAAAAGAATTTGTAAGAATTAAGCCCAAACTATGTCCAAGAATTAAAATAGTATGTACAATTCTGACTTTATGATTTTCTCTAAAGATGCAAAGACTCCAATGAACAGGAAAAGAAAAGCTGATAGAAGGCAGCCCTTGGTCGTGCCTGTAGATTTTCATACTCACTGCTGACTTCTAGGTTTCAGGCCTTTGTTGTCTGACTAGGGTAAGAAAATTTATGTCTGGATCAGTGCTATAAAGACACATGGCACTCTGGTATAGGCCACCAGTGTCAGAGGGATACTGAGGCAGTGGTTGTGTCTACTAAGGAACTGGTGGTTTTCTTAAGTGAGAGTGACTTACCTGCATATTGCAAATTATCAAATTGTACTTCAGAAAGTCTGGTATTAATTATTGTGAGCAAATTTATCCTCTGAAGAAGGTGACTCAGAAAGAGCTAATTTTTACTAGTTAGAACAGAGTTTTGCTAGGTATTATTTAATTGTACTATAGTCTTTCTGTAGGTTTTTTCATTAGTGAAAACTAAGCAATGATAAATGTTTTGAACTAAATATTAGGCTATATTTTTTACTTATCTAATGGGAACAACCAGAAGAATCAACCATATGTCTTTAAGGCAAAGAGTTTGTCTTCTTTCTGGTGTATTTTATATTGACATTTAGGAAATTTCATTTGGAGAAATACCTAAGATTATGAAGCATTCTTGGGTCCCTGGAAGGGGTGTTTGGAACAAGACAGTGGGGTGCATAAAACTGAAAATGAGGAATCAAATAGAAATGGACCTTTGGGGAACTGGAAAGATACCATCTTTTGAAATAAGACTACTACTGGATATTTGCCTGGAAAACACTAGAAACTGAAATTAGGTAGGATTGTTGTTTACACTGATGTCATATGCACAATTAGGGGTGGCAGCCCAGTCCCTTCAGGAGATACAAACACGAGACACCAGATAATTTTCAGTCCCACATGACAGTGGCCACTTTGCTTCCAGAGTTAGGAAGTAACCACTCCTTTCTGTCTGTGGCTTTCCTTCTAGGCACAAGAGTACAGGGACAGTTAGGAGAACACTTACCCCGAACTCTGGTTCGTTCACTAGATCCTGCTTGTGACCCAGGCTGAGAGCCTCCTTGGGAGCTAGGCTGGGAGCTGGGAGTGCTGGAGCTGGAGGAACTGCCACTGCTGGTCCTCTGCAAGGGACTCTCCAGTACGGGCTCTGTTCTGCGGAGGTCAGGATTGCTGCATGGACAGAGGAACACGATGGCTATAGGTCAGCATGCAAAATATACAAGGCACTTGCTTAACAAGTTGGTAACAATAAACAACCAGACTTTCAAAATGAGCTGAGGATCTGAAGAGACATTGCAATAAAGACACACAACAAGCCATATACAAAAATGCTCAGCATCACCTTACACTTGTTAAAATTGTTTTCTCAGAAAGAGGAATGGCAGCCATTGCTACTGAGGGTGTTGGGAAGGAAATCCTTGTCTTCTGTTGGTAGGATGCAAATTAGCATAGCCATTATGAAAAATATTATGGAGATTGCTCCAAAAATTATAAAGAGGGCTATAGCATGACCCAACAATTCTGTTTCTGGTTATGTATCTAGAGGAAATGAGGTCATTGTGTTGAAAAGATGGATGCATTAATTGTTGCATTATTTATAGCAGCAAAAGATAGACTCAGCATATATCCACTGAAGCACAAATGGATAAAGAAAATATAATGTATTTTATATATGTAGTGCATATATATTCTATACATATGTCAACCACACAAGAAGACACACTCTGCACGATCTCACTTATATGTGGACAGGCACAACTCAGAGTAGTAGAGAGTACAGTGTGGATTGTTAGCAGCTGTAAGGTTTGGTGTAGGGACAATAGTAAAGCCAACTGCAGAATGACTGTTGGTGAAGCTCACAAAAACAAAGAATTCTTGCTTAATAATGGCATTCTTTAATGGAGCATAACTATTTTGTGATAACTGTTTGTATCTAAGGGGTTGAACTAAATTTGGGTTCCATGTGCAAATACCCCTAAATTAGAAAATACTCAAAATGATCAGTGCTTCTTTCCCAAGTGTCTTACGTGATAAACTTGTTATTTTTCATAGAAAACAATTGTCTCTTACCTTCAAATAATGACTTCTCCCCCACTGCTCTCTTTTATAAAACACTGGTGGTCAGGGAATTACTAATAAATTACTAAATTATTTGTTGGAAAATGTATTACTAACCAAGTACATTATAGACCAAGAGTGGTGGATGGCATCAAAGTTTCTTATACTGCTCAATTATGTGGAAAGATGATGTCATCTTCTTTGTACTAAAAAACATATTGACAGAATGGTGGTGGTACATGCTCTGAAATGTTCCCTAAGGTGGCTGTGGTGTCGTGACAGTATTCAGTGACTTGTTCTATTTAGCTTTCCTTGGATGCTTCAGTCAAAATCTTGTTGAATCACATCTAAATTGAGTCTTATTGGATCCAGATGAGATAAGGGCTGGAGTAGGTCAGGCCAAGAGGTGTCCAGTCAAGTGACAACATCGCCATGGCAACGAGATAAGTGTGGTAGACACAAGAATTAACAGTTAATAGCAACTCCGAAAGCAATGTGAAAAGAGACTATAAATGCCATTGGTGTTTGGGGAAATTTGTGCACATTAAGGAGTCTTGGTTGGTGCTGTAAAGGAGTGAGGCATAGTGGGACTTGGTATAGTATCAGAAAGTCTGGACATAGACCGAGTAGTGATAAAAGCTGGTGTCTTCCTTGTATACATGGATGGATGTTAAGCAGAGGCCAGCAGGGCAGTTAGCCAAGTCTGTGATAGGAATCAAAATGAGCCGATTGGAAGAGAAGCGTGGTTGGATAGCACTGGCTCTTAAAGCCTGCTTGCTACCTGCTTCCATGGTGGGCCTAGTTGTGGGTGCCTGGCTAGGAGAAAATCATGGAAAGACAGGGCTGTGGTCATGTTAGGTGCCCTGGCTATTGGCAGAACTATCTGGGATGTGCATGTGTCTTTGATGAAGCTCAGAGCTTCTTCCTGTGTGAAGGTAATTAGATCCCATGAGCATTGAATATCTGACTTAGGCCTCATTAGCTCAAGCCCTTTCTACTGCAGCTCACTGTCACAGGTTCTGATTGCCATTCTTGCTGCTGAACACCAAAAGAAATATTCAGTGTCTCTATAACCACACAGAGAAATAAGGAAACTTAATGTCTTTTCTATCTCACTTCCTTTCTCTTAAAAATATGAGTAATGTGAAAAATGCCATATGATATTTTTCTCCTCCTTATTATCTATGTATTATCTGCCTTATGGGCTGAGGGGTCGGAAATAAATGTTCAGAGAGGTTCAACTTCAGAATTCCACTCATAACGGATTTTTCTTGTTCACATATTAACTTAGACTACTTGGATTCAAGCATGCAGAAACTTCAAAACTTCCAAGTACATTTCTTTAAATGTGAACTTTTAATGCACACTTTCTCTATTCAGCAAACAATGCTGTTTGCTCTATAAGACAAACACTGAGGGAATATGTGGCAATTATTCTATCTACTTGAATTGTATAAAAAGTCAAAACAAAAAATGAGGATTACAAAGTGATTTTATGTCCAAAGCCTTGGGCCAAGTCTTTAATTAAATGGCTGACTGCCAAAATTCTCTTTACTTTGTTCTCTGATGACATGGCCAATAAGAAAAAAACTAGTCATAAGAAGATATGTTTGGGATGGGACAAGGAATTATTTTCTGAGATTAAACATTTAGTCACTGTTTCTTTTTAGACTGGGTCTTTCTGGCTTAATTTAAATCTTTTCATACTTCAAAAGTACTTGTTTGAGCAAATTTTAATTTTGTTTAAGAAGAACACATGAATCAAAGCTAAATATTAAAGTGCCTAGCAGTTTAAAATAGGAATATTTTTACATGATCAACTACAGTCTTTATTTTGGCATCTAGGAGCAGGTGAGACCTGCCTGTGGAGCTTGACCTTAAGCAATGCCCAGCTTCCTGGGCAGAAGACTGTGACACAGCCCACCTTTACCCCCAGAGAGGGAACTGTCAAAAGTATGAAATGCTGCTGTTCCTAGGTGAGTGAGGAAGCATTTGGAACAAGGCAAAGATCAGTCCTACAAACTACAGGGTGAGAAAGGTGGAGACAAAATGGTGTCTTGTCAATCAGTGAGTTAAGAGTTCCCAAGGCAGACTACCAGAGTTCAAATCCCAGGCCTACCACTTCTTCCTTTGACACATTGGGCAATTTGTATGAGTTCTATTTACTTCAGCTTCTCATCTATAAAATGAGGGTGATGAAAGTCATTGCCTCGGAATCACTAATGGTTTAAATAGTTAATATTTGCAATGCTAGCTGGAAAGATGGCTCAGTGGGTAAAGACACATGCTGTCATATCATGGCAACCTAGGTTCAATCTCTGGAACCCCCAGATAACCAAATCCACTAAGGTGTCTTCTGACCAACACACACACACACACACACACACACACACACACACACACACACACACACACACACACACATACACACACACACACACACAATTTAAGAGTATTTGAAATGCTATGAAAATACTATATCATACATAGTGCTTCAAGAGATATTTAGTGAACACTAAAGTGAATATAAATTGCCTCAGAAACAGACGACAAGGTCCTGAAAGATCTACCCACAAATGCTCACTGTTCTTAGACAGCAAGGGAAAATAGAGAAGTATTCCTAGAGAAGGAAGTGACTTGCTTGTGTTAGCTATACACACTCAAGTGCACACCCTGACTCCAGATTCTTCTATTCAGGGTACTACATGGTTACTATTGATTCAAACCTATTGTTTTCAAATCGTTATGGAGCATCTCAGACTTGGCAGTTATTATATGACATCTTGCCCCTAGGATCTGGGATCGACTGCTATAAGTGGAGGAAACAAAATATAAACATCTTTCTTCTTTGCACATAGCTTGTTTCTTATTCTCATCAGACAAGGAGAACTGCTTTCTCTGGGGGTTCTTCTCTATGTTCTTCTCTACTCAGGGACTAGGGGCCTACTTTGCTGAAGTATTACCATCTTGAACTCTGCCTGGGTTCCTAAGTTATTCATAAAGAAGAGAGAGCCTTGCCATTTAAAAATAATGCCTGTGTACATGTATGTAGAGTTTGTGTACATGTGGATGAGTGTATACATGTGTGTTTATGGAGGGCAGAGCACAACCATAGGAGTGCTCCACCTCTTTTGAGACACGGTCTTCATTGGCCTGGAGCTTACCATAATTGGTTTAGAATGGATGGCTGAATTTGAAGCCTCAGTAGCCACCTGGAAAGTGCAGTGGTGCCATGTGTAATCCCAGTGTCGGGGAGGCTGAGACAGGAGGATCTCAGGGGCTTGAGGGCTAGCCACCCTAGCTGCAGCAGTGAACTCTAGGTTCAGTGAGAGACCCTACTCAGAAAAAAGATGGAGGACCATCGAGAGAGATACTGGACATTGATGTCTCCACATACCATGGAAATCTTGTGGGGGTCAGAGGACAACTTTGTGGGTTCTCCCCTTCTAATTTTGTATGGGTTCTGGAGATAAGCTCAGGTTGCCAAGCTTATGCAGCAGTTGTCTTTCACCACTTCTAAGAGCCATCTCACCAGCCAGTGATTCACATTTCAAGTGCTGGTCATGTGGAGGTGAATGTTGGCAGAAGCAAGAGTGTTTTGCAGATTGTCTTACATGAAGAGATGGGGCATCTCCATGCTCTCACCCCAAATCTTTGGATGTGCATTGTAGGTGGAAAACTGCAAACTCTCAGCTCATGTCCTCTCTGCTGTAAGTAGACAGACCCTGGGGTCTCTCAGGAAGTTTGTATTCTTCGCACAAAATAAAGTACACCCTTACCTTTTATAAGTCACTGCCCATCAAACAACCATTTTCTTAGGCCCTAATGTTGTTAACAACAGCATCTCAGGGGAATTAAATGGCTGCTTGTCACTCGACTGTAACAGCGGGTCATTCTTTTTGGTTGACTGAAAAGTATTTAGGGCTGAGATGATACTTCATCTAAGCAGCCAGATTCCAAGCAACGGACCTAATGAAAATATTCTCCAGGGCAGGGTGCAAAAGATCAGGAGGTGCCAGTATCTGAGGACTTGAACAGAGGGACTGATAAAACTTAGCCTGTGTCCATTGCTAGCATGCCTCTGTGCCCTGACCACAGCACTGTCCAAGTAACCTAGGGTTGTGTGGTCACACCAGCTAGGCACAGATCTGACAAGTTGCAGGAGAACAAGGGGTTCATAGAGTCCTACAATTTGTAACTCCACTTAGAATGAAGCTGGGATCTTCCCCCCAGAGAGATTCTATGTGGAGTGCCTCCTCCTTTTGGGAATGACCCCTTCCTACGGCTTTTCAAGGGAAGAGAAAAGAGAGTGAGATCAAAAGTATTCTGTATACAAACAAAACCATAAGTCCCCCCCCTTTACTCTCCCCTTTCCCTCTTCATGGTCTTTCTCTCGTCATGAACACAGTGAAGAAGAAAGCAGCCTGTCCTAATGCATCCTTTTAAATGCCCCTGCAGAGGCCACTTGCTATTTTTGTGGCTCCTAAAAAAGGATGCATTCATCATGACAAATCCAAGGGAGACTTGATGAACAACAGCAACAAACAGCATCTGTTGCCACATAAAGTCTGCCCGGATACTGTGCAGACACTGTTTACTTCCCAGCATCCCTTGAGACCTCTGTACCAACCAGTGGATATTGGATGTACCCTCCTCATTGTAGGGATATGCACTGGATGGAAAAACCTAAAAGAACATAGAGTAAATCATGGAAGACCCTCCATAAGGCCACTGGGGTGATTTCCTGATCAACGCTGGTCTTGTCAGGGCCAAGCTATAGAATTTCTGAGGTTGCTTACTATTTCCAAAGCAAGAGTTTTGTGATGCTTCAGTGGTTCTTGGTGTACATTTCTTGACCTGGTGCTGTAATTTAACTCCAATTTCCTTCTGGCTCCATGAATGGTCTCCAAAGCAATTGGTTGCAATGCCACAACCACATCTATATTTCTAAGCTTGTGCTCAGATCTTAAAAAGCATCAGACTGAAGTTATAAAAGGCCATCAAAGTTGATAGCCCAGGTGACAGATGTACATGTTTCAGAAGTGAAGAAAAGATCAGGGATGTTCTTTAGGAAAGCAGGTATCTTGGATAAGCATGGTGACCTCTGTCCTCTTACCTTGCTCTGATAGGTTGAGATCCAAGTCTGGGGCCCAGAGCACTGCCATTCCCAGGGGAATTCTTCCTGGCTAATGCTGGGGATATAGAAGTTGTTCTTTGAGGCACCTGGAAGAAAATGGGAATTGAGAAATATTTCCCATAATACAGTGCAGGTAAGCTACTCTACAGAAGAACTGCCCTCCACCCTGCAGAGAAACAGGAAATCCTAAACAAAGCCAAAGGACAACCTCCTGTCAAAAGTCAAGGAGGAGTGTTCCATGGCCACTAAGATCATTTTAATCTTAAAAACAGAGATTGCTCTAATGACCTTGATTTACCGAGTCACAAGAAACTACCTCCTCTTGCTTAGACAAGAGTGGTAGCTAGGAGAAACCTCTTTGGAGTGATGCCTTTAGTCCTGCGGTAGAGCTTTAGGTGGGAGCTGAACAGAGAAGGTCACATTTTACTTTGGCTCATCATAACGAACAAATAGATTATGAATTCTAGTGAAAAGCTGGGTGCCATTTGAGACCTTGGACAGTAAGTCATATGCTGGGGAGCCTGAAGAACCTATCACTTTATTATTTACTTTTAAATATTTGTGTATGTGTGAGTCCCTGCTTGTATGGATGGATAACACATATGTGCTGGGTACCCATGGAAGCTAGGAGAAGGCATCAGATCTCACAGAACTGTGGTTGCAGGTAGTTGTGAACCACCCAATGTGGGTGTTGGGAAATGAACCAAGGTCCTCCCAAGAGCAGAAGTGTTCGAATCACTGGGTGATCTCTGCAGCTCTTATCTCTCCTATATCATGAAAACATAGACTGTTATACTTCCTAAGAAAGCTGCTATTATTAAAGACCCCACATGTCTTTTTGTAACTAGTAAATGCTATTTATAAAACAGAATTAATACTGAAAATACTAGAAGAGTTTTAAAATGTCTGTGTGAGTATAATAAGGCTGGGAAGTACAGTGTAAGTGTGTATTACTAACTCAACCAGGAAAAGCAGATAATAGAATTCAAATGTGGCTTCTGTCAAAAGTATACAGACTATGCTTGTGGGGTCAGGTATTATGCAAAGGGAGTCTGTTATTTACAAGAAACACACAGACATTAGTGCAGAGGATGACTTTCAATCTAAGTGTCATCCTTTATCTATTTTGAAAAAATATTTTGTTATAATTCATTTTAACATAAAATGGAATCAAGGAAACAAAACCAAATGTTCAAACTGGCATAACACCTGTTCAAATTAAGCACTACTGCTGTTATTTCCCCATTTTCCTTGTGTAAATAAAAACATTTGTAGAGAAGCTCTCAGTAGATGACTGCACCCTGAGTATTTCCTAGCTTTACACATGTCACCTATAGAGAGTGGATCAGGCTCTTCTTTCAGGTCTCAAGAATTGTCACTGTTTCATTGTCAAAATAATGGCAACCTTGCTAGGATTCCCACTTGAGAGGGAGATGATAATTGTTTGGAAATCATTAAAAACTATTTTATTGTTTCATAATTATTAGTCGTAACTATTATCTCCCTCATAGATTATACCTCGGATACATAGTTAGATTTTAACAACATGAAGATGAGGACCACAAACACCATGTTTACAACTGTGTTTCTAAAAGAATTAAAAAGCCTTTTCAATTATAAAAAAAGAAACTTCTTCATTTGATAGCTAGCACACTTGTGTGTTGTTTTTATTTCCCTTATTTTGAAGAATCTTACTGAACATTAAAATCATTGCCTGCACTGTCCAAAAAAAAAAAAAAAACTACTTTATTTTTTTCCTGGGATTAATAGTAATGGTAAGACATTCTAATTATCACAGCTTCATATGCTGAGCTCAGGAGAAAAGACATTCATGGGCCAGGAAAAAAATCTGTTACAAAAATGTCTTAGCATTTTAAAGACATCCAGGTTGACTGTAGACACATTCCAGAACATTCCTGGGAACAAACAATAGTTAAGTAATGTAAAACGAAACAAAAGAATTCAAGGTTGCTCTGTAGTGTGGGAAAGCTAGTCATTTCCCTCTAAAGTTCAATCCTCTGTAATTAAGGCTGGAAATACAGTACTTCTTTGTCTAGAAGGAGCACTTCTCAAGTGGAGCCAACTGAAATGCCTGAAGACCAGGCCAGCCTGTATGTTTGTACATATGTGTTTTCATATGTGTGCACATGAGTGTGACAGCCATGTGTGTATATGCCTGTGGAGCCAGGAGTCAATGCTGTGTATCTTCCTCAATATTTCTGCCTCTGCCTGTGTCTCTGTCTGTCTCTGCCTCTCTCTCTCTCTCTCTCTCTCTCTCTCTCTCTCTCTCTCTCTCTCTCTCTCTCCCTCTCTCTCTCTCTCTCCCCCACACAGAGAGAGAGAGAGAGACAGAGAGAGAGAGAGAGCAATTTAGCTAGACTTTCTGACCATGGACCTTCTTGTTTCCACCTCCTCAGGACTAGGGTTATAGATACATGTCACCAAGCCTGGATTTTACATGACTGCTGGGGTCCTGAACTCAAATCCTATGCCTGTGTGGCAAGCACTTAACTGACTGAGTTTCATTTTCCCAGTCCCCAGACCATTTTCTGAACCTTTGAAATCTGGTTGAGTTTTGTGTTGTTAAATGTAAGAGTAAGTGAATTTTCTTTTACTTATTTGGTTTGTTTAGCTATAGATGCAATAATCATCGAAAATACCCACTAATCTATTTTCCAGCATGAAGAGCAGAATAGCTTAGAGTGTTTGGTGTTGAGAGTTCTAACTCTATACAAAGACAAACACTTCCCTGTCACTGAATCTCTGTCCCTGTGGGAAATAAAAGATCAGAAGCTATAAATGACTACCCAAGACTTAACTTAGAGAAGGGACAATGACAATAGACACAGTCATGTTCTCCAAACTGTGAAATGGATGGAATAGTGGTGGGTGCTGATGGTGGTGGCAGCCACAGACACCTCACAGCACAGAGGATTCTGATGGTGGTGGCAGTGACACAGACACGCCACAGCACAGAGGATGCTGATGGTGATGGCAGTGACAGACATGCCACAGCACAGAGGATGCTGACAGTGATGGCAGTGACAGACATACAGCAGCACTGATGTACCTTTGGTGGAATATCTTCTTCCTGTCGTAACCAAGAGCTTCGGTCGAACTTTTCAATGCGAGTGGGGAGAGGAGGATTTTCCGAGGTGGGATCTGAGTTCTGGCGTGGCATTTCTACCCTGTGAGAGGTCACATTCAGAGCCTCCTGGAACCCAGACAGGCCCTTTGTGGGTTGCTCGTGCACTGACTGGGAGACGGTCAAGGCAGGTCCCTGGGATTTGACAGCTACCAGCTGCGGGATCTAAACACACAACATAGGGCCAGCATTATTAGAAGCCCATAGGTTGAAGGTACAGAAAGTTCTGTACACAGGAATTGAATCTATCTGAGCTATTGACAGGTGGTTTTCAGTTAGCAATAATTGTACTTGGGACAAGCCAGCCTAACAGGCTGAGACACTCCTGCTATACAAGGCTGCACAGCATGGTTCTCACAGTCCTTCAGAATCTCCAATTTAGAAAATACATAGAGCTAACTCAGGGATCCTGGCAACAGGCTCGGTGTGTGAGCTGGAAATGCTGAGAAGTCAGGGAATAGCAAGGTGGTAGTAACAATAATTACATTTATTCAACATTTCCTGGACAAACAGTAACACAAGCTGTTTTATAAGCTATCCCAAGTTCCTTCTTGTACAGTCCTTAGCTTTGACTTTAGCTACAAGTGTCCTATGGAAGAGGAAATGGTCTAAATTAAATGTCTTTCCTTCTCTGAACTTACTGAGTCCACCCTGGGGTAGACACAACCAGCATTCTTTCAGACATGAGCAATCTCAGGTGGGAAGAGATTAAGTCACACTCTAGATTTCACAGCTGAGCTGGAAGCCAGTGTCCCGCCCCCAGAGCCCATGCATCTGACCTTTGTAGTGTACTCCTTCCTTCCTTATGTGTCCCCCCTCCCACCCTATGTGTACGTGTGTGAGGTGCACACGCATGTTTAGAGGCCAGAGGTCAATTTCAGAATGTTTACCTGGTTTATAGTCTGTCTGACTCTCTCTCTCTCCTCTCTCCCCAACTCTTTCCCTCCCTTCCTCTCCTTCTCTTTCCTTTTTGAAACAGAGTCTCTCTCTGAAGCTCAGGCTGGCCTGGAACTCCATGTAGTTATGACTGGCTTTTAACAACCCCCAGAAATCCACCTGCCTCTGTCTTCCGAGAGCTGGGATTAAAGGCTCGAGCCACACATGGCCCTCACTCTGTTTAATTTGCCAATTTGACTAAGCTGGCTGGCCAACAAGCCCCAAGGATTCTCCTGAACCCACTCCCCCAGTGCTAGTTCACAAGCATGCACTACCAGGCCTGCCTTTTTTTATGTGCGTTCTAGGGATTGAATTTGGCTCCTTACATGGCAAGTACTTTACTGAATGGGCCACCTCATTAGACCCTATAGTGTCCTGACTTGAACAGGGCTGGCTGTCACCACTGAGAATATACTCCATCCCCCAATATCAGGATGTTTCTTGAGGAGTTATTTCAACAATTGGGCATGCAGTGCTGTTGTTCATGCAGGAATGACTTCTGGAAGTTTCATTTGGCCTCTTAAGAAAAATCACCCATAGGCTGGGCGTTGGTGGTGCACACCTTTAGTCCCAGCACTTGGGAGGCAGAGCAGGTGGATCTCTGTGAGTTCAAGGCCAGCCTGGTGTACAAAGCTACACAGAGAAACCCTGCCTCAACAAACAAAAACAAAAAAAAAAAAAGAAAGAAAGCAAAAAGGAAACACCCAAATCAGGGTACAAGGGACCCTGTTACCACCACCCTGCCTATGTACCACTGCACTTTTGAACATTGAAGCTTGCCCTACTTATTTCAAGCAATATTGATTTCCCATTGACTTTGTACAATGACCATTCTTTGGTTGGTAATTCCTGTTGGAATGCTATAGTGACAAGCAAGAAAATCCTAAAGCTTTGCTCTGCTGAGTGTTCTGCATTAGCCAGATTAGACCCTTTAATGCTCATATGGATGTGAATATTATTGAATATGTTAATAACATAAAACAAAGCAATTAACATATCTAGTACAAAACACAAACTCACGTTAGCAGACCATCCCAAGAACACCGGAACACTGAAGGACCCAAAGAATGCTTCCATAGAAAGTCTATACTACTATTTCCTCATCATTTCAGAAGGGCATTTTCCCACAGTGTCCCCTTTAATAAGGCAAAGGTTCATTATATGGTCAAAGTAGAAGGTTTTAAAAAGAAGGGAAACCCTTGTAAAATGTCCCCTTTTGAAGAGTCTGCAAGAGCGAATTATATACATAAAAAAACAATCGGGGAAGGTGTGGAAGCTGAGAAATCTTGAATTTTGCTTATTACCACCAACTTAAAACACAAAAGAAGCCTTCATTTTTATCATGATTCTTTTAAGTTCCAGTTCAAACAGTAGTGCATATTTCAAAGGTGACCTGAAAATACACTGGAAAAACCCTACCACAGCTGGGTGCTGGGAGAAATGTAAGAGTTTGTGTGAGAAAGGCTGCATTACACTCCTTCCCCCATGTAATTTCCATATTCTATTTCACTTTGAATTTCATCTTTGCAGAACTTACCAGAAAGCTTCTTTCCTAGTAGTGAAGTAATCTTTCCCCACCAAATATCTTCACACAGTTCTTCACAGCCTCTAAGGGGTACCCGGATCAACCCCGCAAGACTTTTAAAGTCAGACTGCCAGGTCCAACCCCGCCTTGCTGGTGAGCAAGCCTGAGGCACACCCAGGAATATGCATTTTTATGAAGCTCATGGGTGCTGCTGGCTGCTGGTCTGAGGAGCATGCCTGGAGAGCTACAGGCACAGAAGGTACATGCTTATTTCACCAAGCCTATTGAGTTCTCCAGTTCAGATTTCCACCCGTATTTCAATGAAGGGGAGTATAGTCTACTTCAGAGGTCTCTATATGAATGTTAATTCTTCTGCTTGTAACTACAAGAATGCTTGTCCCCGCCCTGCAGCACTTGAATGAGTTTCCATGGGAGCCACTTTACCAAGAAGTGACTTTGAAATTGACTCAAGGTCAATAGCTTTACCTCCCGGTCTATTTTCCTGAGCCTCTCAATCCCGAGGGGCTTCTGTCCCATCTGAATGTCATGCTAAGGGTCTTTACTTCTTAGGTCCTATGCCATGCTAGAATCTTCAACTTTTAACAGGTTTTCCTGGGTACAAGTGCCCACTGGAGCAGAAGAGATAGTATACCTGAGGGTCAACAGGTCTGAGCATTGGTGGTGTCCGAGCAGGCTGAACCCCACTAATGCTGAAGGACTCCGATCTTGGGGGCAGGTTGGGGTCAGAGATCCTGTTGGCAACCTTGTGAGGCATGGCAGGTGAACTCTGTCGGTTTAGTCTTGAGCGCTCTTCTACCTGGATGTCAAAGGAAAAGAAAGTCTCAATGGCTACAAGTTGGTGCTTTTTCTAGTAAGAATTTTCTGTAGTCACCCACACAGGCACTTTTATGTCTCCCTGATGAATTCAAAGAGCCCCAACTTGCCATTTTTGTTTTCCAGCAAGATCCTTTTCTCCTTTCCCTCATTTTCCTTTCTCCTTCTCATGGAATTCTTCCAATAAGCAAACACAGGCAAGACACTTGAGCCCTTGCCCTATTAGTTTGTGTTATTTCAGTTAACTGGGCACTCCAAGTCTGCTAAGAGTTCCTTGAGCCAATATCCTACTAATTAGTCACAAAGCCATGGCATCAGGCAGGAAAATGGTGTGCGCTGCAGATAATCCAAGGGGACTATGGTATTCATTGAAACAGTTTAGGGGAAAATAGAAACTTGCTTTGGGTTGACTCAGGAGATGGGGCATTTGTCACACGAGGACTGGAGAGGGAGAGGTGGCACACAGGAACTCTGCTCTTCTTATGCATGCTGGCGATAGGCACGTGGGCGTCCTGATGCTGCTTAATGACATGCCTGTCTTACCCAGACTTCCTGTATCATTTTCTTTTTCTCTTTGGAGTCCTTTCCTTTCAATTGCCTCTCCCTGCTACCCAAAATACACTAATCCTCCCAGGCTTTCGGTTCCCAGCATGGGTGCTGTCGCCCCACTCCCTCTGACTCTCCCCCTGCTGCCCACATTCTAGTCCTTCCTGTCCCCATGACTTTTTCTCCTCCTAACCCATTGCATTTCCTTGTCATGTCTTATTCTCCAGGGTTTCTCTCAGTCTAAGGACTTCCCAGGAGAAGCTCAGAGAACAAGTGGCTCTTTATTATTATTATTATTATTATTATTATTATTATTATTATATTTGAATTAGAAACAAGATTGAATTACATGACAATCTCAGTTCCCTTCTCCCTCCCATCCTCCCCTACCACCCCCCTAACTAAAACCCTACCTATGTATGTCCTTTCTTCTAATCTACACTTAACTCAACCTTTCTGCTCCCTCATGACCTCTGCATCCTTCCTCTTCTTCCCTTCTCATTCTCGTAGCTCCCTCCCCCCTCTTCCCATGCTCTCAATTTATAAGTGGCTCTTTTTAAACTGATAAAAGTCCATCAGTCAGTCTATATTTATAGCAGCAGATAGACTGTTATAAGGATGACTTGAAAGTTAAATTAACAAGATGGACATCAACAGACAAGATGGAAGACCTTGGTCAACTCCAAAGGGCTAAGACCTTTGTTCGGGGTTTATCTTACATTGTCCTATATTTTTTTAGGGTCAATATAATGGTGTGGCTCTCAAGCATGCAAGGCGATGCCATACACCACTCTCTTCACCCTGCTGGCTCACTAAGAGTGCATCCTTAACTCACTTCCATTGACTCAATATTCAGGTATGTCTGCATATTTTTAAGTGGCAGCTAAGGTTTAAAATTTCTTTTTGCTGCCTGATTGGAAACAAAATTCTAAAGTCCTATTTGTTCTCATCTTCCTTACACTATTTTGATTGTTCTAGAGATAGGCCCAATTTCTTATTCATAGTAAGTCTGTTTTAGCCTCAAACATTTAAATATGCTTCATTAAGCCACAGATTAGGAAACAGCCTTCCTGCCTCTGTGAGGTGTAATTCGAACATCTCTTCCCTCACTATGGGTTTGTGGGGTATGCCCAATTGGCTTCTATTTTACTTTGGTTTTGAAATTCTAAGTCCTAGAAATTCACTACACACCAAATTACACTAGCTACAAAAGGCCACAGGTATAAGCTAGGAAATGTTTACTTTGTGAGTGCATAAAGCCTTATGTCAGCAATAATTATTTGGTCACTGTACTGAGCAGATAAGCAAAGCCCGCTGTCATTACAAGACCTCAAAGCCTCAAGAAGAAGGCAACAGCCAAGCCAAGCACCACTTCTAAATACCAGACTTTTTAAAAGAAAAGAAAGTGGTTGTTCTTTAACCACTGCAATTCCTTATTTCCTCAGTCTCTAAATTTTACTACTTAAACCATTCATGTTTGAGCTTAAGAATCCTGGGGAGTAGAAACAGTTCAGAGAAATACCTGGATTTCTACACTTGGGCCACCTGATATCCCAAACACAGGGTGCATTGGTAGTATAGAAGTGAGCATGTATTCTTGTGTTCAGAACCAAATGTATTCCGAGTGAGGCATACTTGTAATGATTATTAATGTTAGTTTTAACTGTCAAATACAGGGCAAAAAGTGAGGGCTAGTTTTCACAGGTAACTTGCATGCCTCATTAGTTGTGTAGAGAGGTTACTAAGCCACTCCTGAACATATTTTCTATGCTTTCAATCCATTCATGCATTAGATTCTACGCTTAGTGTGTCTTAATCTGCAGGATTCTATGTCAAATGAAATAAGTAACCAGTTGTTAATCTCCTGTCAATGATGTCAAGATGGGTCAATGTGGTGTTTGAACAACAAAACGGTAATTCCATGAAAAGGTTGTAACAATGAGGCAGTTGGCTACACAGTCAAAAGATTTTTATATTTATTTCTCTCTGTATGTGCTCACATGTATGTGTCACAACACATGTCAGAGGTCAGAAAACAACCTCTGGGGGATAGTTCTCTCCTTCTATCATGTGAGTTCCATGAATTGAACTCAGGTTGCCAGGCTTGGAAGCAAGCGTCTTTAGCTGCTGAGCTAACTTGCTGGCTGTGACTATATTTTTGTCTCAAGAAAATCTTGTCTTAAAACCTTCAGGAAGGTTGGAACACAGATGTGCTTTGCATCAAAATTTCCCTGTAATTACCAGAGGAAAGACACCAAAACCAGACATTGGAAATAGCTTTTCCCAGGGAGAAAGCTGAGTGTACTCAGAAGCAGATCCTTCTGATACCAGGCAAAGGTCTGTCCCCTACTGATAACAACCCTTCCTCACCTCTTTGGCCCACGCCGGCTTCTCGCTGGGACTCATGCCCTCCTTGTAATGGTACAGGGGCTTCTTCTCCAGGGGCCTCTGCTCCTGTCGCTGATGCTGGAGGGAAACCAGATAGTCTCTTTCTTGCTTTAGCTGCCGCTGGAGTCTTTCTGCTTGCCTCTGCTCTTCCAGTTGTTTGCGCTTATATTCCTACCCAGAGCAGGAAGAGCGAAGAAGAGGGTACATGACCACAGGGGACATTACCACAGCGGGCAGCAGCAAAGCATGCAGTGGAGGCAAAGGGGAACTGGAAACAAGTAGAATTCCAAGAAGGACAAGGAGTACCCCAAATAAGCCCAGGCCTCATGTTAGTGTCCGCACAAGAATATGTAAATAAAAACATGATTGCTTTAATGGCAGTCCCTACAGAATACTACTTGGAAAGTGACATGTCTCTGGAGAATTGCAACATAGATGCAGGGTAGTCAGGCTTGTCATTCCTAGGAGTCATCCACTTCCTAATTTGGTAATTTGGTTCTTCAAACATATGTGATAGAGTATACAACCAAATAAACAACCAGAGATCACCACCCTTTAGATAAAACCTGTACTAACTAAAGCTATTAGCAAGCTCATTTATAAGGCAACAAAAAAAAAAAGAAAAGAAAAGAAAAGAAAAAACGAAAGAAACAAAAACAGAATGCTATCACATAAAATACTGAATTAAAAAAATAAAAAAAGCAACACCAAGCAGCCCATTTGGAGAGCATATAGTAGTAGTGATAAAAGTTCTTGCAGCAGATACGGCATGAGCAGGAAACAAACTGTTCCCATTGTAAGGGCAGGACTAACAGCCTGCAAATGAGAAATGACTGCAGGGTTGAGCAGGCTCTATGGCTGAGGTGCATTTGCTGTGATTATATTCCAGCATGTTGCAAATGGCTTTAAAAATTACTCTGCAATAAACACAGTGGGTCTTGAATGTAATTTGAACTTATAATAAGGCTGGATTCATGCTAAAGTTTCCCAAATAGAAGGAATTAATAAAGTGTGCTAAATGGTTGAGGAATTAACAAACTGGGTCAGGAAATTATATGAAGCCTCTGTGAGATTCTCAGGTCTAGGAGGTTGGAAGGGAAGACCTCATTTTTATAATGGCATGTTAGGAGGAGGAAACACAAAGTCATACATATGCAGACACGCACACACGCACACAAGCATGCACACACTCAGGGTGAACACCAGGCAGGTCCGCTGGTGTGTGACTTTCCCATTACCAGAAGTAGAGCTTGTTCATGCAGTAGCTGCTGCTGTAAGATCTCTAACTGTCTTTGCTCCTCCTCTAACTGTCGCCTGATGTATTCCTGGAGAGGCAGGCAGCAGAGAATTGGGAAGAATGGAAAGAGAGGAAAAGAGAGAGAAAGAACCAGTAATTGCAAAGGTGACAAGAGCTTCCAAGTGAAATGCTGGAGAAAGGAAGGAAAAAATACCCAACACCTCACCCAACAGCAAGAATAGGCTATAGCAAAGCCAAGCTTATCAATACAGTCAAAAGCACAGGCCCCTTGTGATGGCCTGGCATCTCACTGTCTCTATTTGGTTTTAATGAAACCAGCTCTCTGTCAAAGCTTGTTATTAGGCTCCTCTCTTATGGACTCCACGGAATTAGAAATGATGTAAAGTTCTGAGGCTCTGTGCCAGCAGCAGTCATAGAACACATGTGTAAGGTAAGCTAGCTCATAGTCTTTGTAACAGATCCATCCCGTAGTTAGCTCACTCAGCTTGTGAGTTTATCACTCAGCTTGTGAGTTTATCAGGAGCTGGAGAGTAGAAATCGCCTAAATAGCATGGCTCATCTTCATTGATAGAATAGGAACTTGGTTCCATGAAGGGAATTCAAAAATTCTAGGTATGCCAGAGGAGGCCCTTGGCTTGGGTGCAAAGCATGGGCGCTGTCAAACTGTGCACTTGACTGTTTGAATAGGTAAGAACTGTCACTTGAGAAAAAGCAAAAGTCACAAAAGAACAGTCCCATACCATGTCCCATACTTGGAGACCATGTCCCATACCCCAGAGCTGCCTGATGCTGCAGTTCCCATGGGGCCTGTTGTAGGTTCATAGTTTTTCCACCTCCCAGTACCTGCTCGTGCTCTGCGCGCCTCCTCTCCTCCTCCCGGCGCATCTGCTCTTCATAGTGTCGACGCTGTTCCCGCTCCTGCTGCTTCCGAAGCTCCTTCTCCCGCCTTTGTTGCTGTGGGTCACAAGCAGACATCATGATAGCAGTGGGCACTGGTGATATTAGCATTAGATCTGCCCTGTGATAGACATGAGCTCTCAAAGACAGATACCCAAATGCTCCAAGGCTTTTCAACCTGGGCTACTGGGGACACATTGGTAAGGAGGGGTGATATCAAGAGATTTGGAGCTATGTAGACCATCTATGTGGACTCTCACCAAGACACACTCTTTTGTGGCCATTTGGGATTGACAAACTAGGCTGCAAAAGACCAGCCATCTTTGAGCTGTCATAGACTCTTGAAATCCATTGCAATACTTACATGCTTCAGTCATTCTAATATCATTCCTTACAAAGATTCCAAAGATACAAGATTCAGATAAGCGGAGTAGATAATCAAGGCTGCATACTGAGGAGAATTCACAGAATCCCACTCAGACCACATCTCTGTTGCTCACACCAAGCTGCTTCTCTGTTTGCTGGAGGAATCATTTGTAAATGCTCCGAGGGAGCACCGTCATGACCTCATTTTCATTCTTACCTCATACAATTGCCCCACCCAAGAGTGGATAGAGCAAACCACATGTTACATGTGTATCTTACTTAATCTTCAAAAATGTCTTTTGAGGTAGATGTCATTATCCCCAGTTTATGTACCGATACTGAGGCTTGGGGACAGTAATTGTTTAAAGTCATGTTACTGTTCACCCACCGTCTATCCCAATAAATAGCAGGGCTTGACTTCAAAGCCAGCCATATGCTACAGGACCTAAGCTCAACTATTTTGTAGCTGGAGAGATAGGAAATGTGGCAGAAGACACCCAAATTGACCTGGCTCTTCATTCTACTTTCTGAAAAGGAGAGAGGTTGGGAGACCTGAGAACCAAGCTCAGGAGCTGGTGCTTGGAGATAGCCGTGGTGCCATTCCCCATCTCCACAACACGAGACACTGTGTAGGGGCACGTGAAGGGCACTGGTGACTGTCCTAGTAACTGGAGTCACATGACTGGCATTTAGCCTGAGGGGCAGATATAACAAACATCTTGCAATGTACATGATCACATTTAAAACAATGTTCCCCCAGGCCAAATTCTGGGAATCCAATGAGAGGGATGAGGGAAGAGGTCAGGATCATGATGGAGAAATCTGCAGAGACAGCTGAACCAAGCTCATGGGACTCATGAACTCTAGACTGACAGCTGTGGAGCCTCCATGGGACCGAACTAGGCCCTCAGTATGTGGGAGACAGTTGTGAAGCTTGGGATATCTGAGGGGCACCTGGCAGTAGAGCCAGGATCTATCCCTGGTGTAAGAGTTAGCCCATTCCCTGTGATGGGATGCTGTGCTCAGCCTTAACGCAGGAGGGAGTGTGGTGATATGTTATATATGATTTAATAAAGCCACTGGGGCTCAAAATGCAAAGCTAGCAATAGCCATAGAGCCTGGCAGTGGTGGTATACACCTTTAATCCCAGGACTTGGGAGACAGAGGCAGATGTATCTCTGTTAGTTCAAGACCACACTGAGCTACATAAAATTGGTGCAGTCCAAAAGAGAAACAGCTCACATAATGGTGATCTCAACACTTGGGATCACACATCTTTAATACCCAGCACTAGGTAGGTGGAGATAGGAGTGATATGGCTGGGTAGAGAGAGGAACATAAGGCAGGAGGAGACAGGAACTCAAGGGATTGCAGTCTGAAGCTTGGTGGAGAGCAGTGCAGCCTGCATTGTGCTCTGAGGATTTGTGGAGACAGGGTCCCCCATTTTGGTCTGAGGTAGAGGTAAGAGATAGCTGCTGGCTGCTTTGCTTTTCTGATTTCAGCTTGACTTTATTAGATCATAAGCAATATATCACCACAAGGGAGGGGGCTTGGTCCTGCCTCAACTTAATGGGCCAGGCTTTGTTGACTCCTCATGGGAGCCCTTACTCTTTGGGAGGAGTGGATGGGGGATGGGCTGGGGAGGGAGGTGAAAGGGGCAGGAGGAGGGGTGAGAGAGAGAATTGTGATCAGAATGTAAAATGAAATTAAAATAAATAAATAAACAAAACAATGTGCTCTCCAGTAGTACCGGTAGCATCTATTTTGGGAACAGTTGTGGGCCTTTTATGTCAGACCCGTACTAGCTTTGATTTCTTTTTCCTCAGTTAGAAGGTGCTGAGAAAACAGACCAAGACCAGGTATGCCTCATTCCCTGCGACATTCTCACGGCACTTTATTGCTTGATGAGGAGTGGTGAGATATTCCAAAGAAAACAGCCTCCATTACACCGACAAGTCAGTTCTACAAAACCAGAGAAAGAATCATCCCACCACAGCTGTCTGCCACAGGCCCCCCAAATGTCAAGAACCCTGGGGAAGCCTTGTTGCCCTAGCTTTCACTGCAACCTTCCAATACATCAGTGTATGCTGTGTGTCAGTGCCCTCCAAATCTTAGGAAAGAAGTTGCCCAGCAAGACTCAGTATCTGTCACACTCTAACTTGACAACCACTTATCCATCTTATACTATACTCGATGAGGAGTCTCGGCAGGGCTTTGTGCAGCCAAATGATGCAATAGGGCTTGCATTTTCAAAAGGCCCCCAACAACCATTAGGCACTAACAAAACAAGACGAGGCCTTCCTACAGGTCTAGGCATGAGTCAGCTGGGCATCGATGATGTAATAAAGGTAGACTGGGTACCACTATTCATCTTTATTGCTAAGGAAGAAGTTGCAAAAAGGAAGAAAGGTTCCAGATTTCTAGTTACCCTAAAATGACAGGTGCCTGGTGGTGGTGGCGCAGGCCTTTAATCCCAGCACTTGGGAGTCAGAGACAGGTGGATCTCTGTGAGTTTGAGGCTAGCCTGGTCTATAAAGCGAGTGCCAGGAAAGCCCTGGCTGTTACACAGAGAAACCCTGTCTTGAAAAACAAAAACAAAACAAAGAAACAAATAAATAAAATGACTGACATGGATGCCTGCTTAGAATTATAAGCAGGCCAACATGAAATAGGAAGTTGCTGATGACCACAAGCATGAAAAAAGGGCAGAGCTCTGGGCTAGGGAGCTTCCTGGATAGTGTAACTAAGAGGATATGGAAAACCAGGGGTATGTTGATCCAAACAAGTGAATATTTGTTTCATAGAAAAAAATAATTCAGAGGAACACAAGGGAGAACATCATCATAGGAACTGACTGAATAATTTGAATTGTATACCCAAAGCAGAGGCATTTCCAACACTCAAACGAAGTGAATTAGCGCCAGCCCAGAGAATAAAATAATTATGTGTACTGATCTGGCTTCTGGCAGGAAATAGCCCTCATTTAGCTAACATTTCAAGTTCGTTACTCTTATTGGTCTCTTTCTTGAGGAAAAAATAATCAAGGTCTTTGAAGATTTGGCTGGATTTTTTGTGGAAGATTTGTCTGTTTTCAGTGTTCCAGGAATCAATACTGTTTTATAATTACATGCCACTCAGGTTCCCATGCAAGGTACACACAGTATTGATTGCAACTAAGAAGGTAGGGCTTCTCAAGTGTTCTGAAGCTTCAGAAAAAGACACTCAAAAGTAGCTAATAATTAATAATGATCTCACTCAGATCAGCCACTGGTCACACACAGAGACATCTGCCAGGGCTTCAGTTCCTGCCGTGAAGTTAGAAAAATAAATTATCTCCCCAACCTTCTGAGGGCACCCTGCCAATTTCCAACTGTGTGTCTCAAGGTTGATGCCTTTCCTAGAAAGATGTTTATGGTCTCTTCTTTTGTGTACAGGGCTGTTGGAAAGGACACACCAAAACACACCAAAGAAAATTTCCGACTTCACGGAGACCCTTACAAAGCCTTTGGTGTCTCTCTCTACAAGCAGCTCTTAAAGGACAAGGCTAAGCTCAACTCCTGCTCAACTTCAGCCTCTCACATGGGTCCTGGTATCTGGCAGATACATGTAAAGATGTGTTGTACTAGACACAGTGCTGAGGCAAAAGGAATGCCACGAGTTTAAGATTAGTCAGGGCTATGTAATGAGACTCTGCTTCTAAGAAACTCAACAGAATAAAAACCTGTGGGAGCAAGAAGACACTAACACATTATTCTCTTAAAGCATTTTGGTACTTTCTTCTTACAGTACTAATGACATGCATTACATCATAATACATATTACTTCTTTGTGTTTGTTTTTATCAATTTTGTGATCTAGATGGAAAGCTACTGTGTGTCTCCATTCCAGGTTTTATCTTTTGAAAATGATTTATTTACTTAATTTTTATTTGTGTGTGTATATGCCTGAATGAATGTATGCATACCACACACATGTAGTGCTCTTAGGGGCCAGAAGACGGTGTTGGATCCCTGAAACTGGGGTTACAGTCAGCTGCTAGCCACCCAGCATGGATTCTAGGGATTGAACCATGATTCTCTGAAAGATCAGTAAGCCCTTTTAACTGCTGAGCCACCTTTCCTGCCCTCCAGATTCTGCCTTATATGTTTCTCACACATTGTGTCATTATTTATATTTGTTGTATTGATGACTGAAGGTCAGAAAAACAACCCAAGGGGACTGTGCTAGTTGATTTTCACTGTACTCGACACAACCTGGAATCGCCCCGGACAAGAGTTTTAATTTAGGAATTGTCTAGATCAGGTTGGCCTGTGAGCATGTCTGTAGGGAATTATCTTGATAATTGATGGAGGGGGACCCAACCCACTATGGGCAGCACCATGTCAGAGCTAGGCTGTGTAGAGCGAGGAAAGCTGGCTGAAATCAAGCAAGCAGCATGAGGTTATTTGTTTCTCCCTGTTCAATCAGTGGATGTGATGTGACTGGTTGCTCGAGTTTCTGCCTTGACTTCATGCAATGATGGATGGCAAGGTGAAATTTTATGCATATACACCTTTTCTCTCCAAAGTTGCTTGTTTGTCAGTGTATTTGTCACAGCAACAGAAAGAAAACCAGGGCAGGGTGAAAGACTGAATCAGACCTGCCTTTCCGAGGCATCTCTCACAAGTCAGAAGGTCCTTCATGCCCATACG